AAGCCCCTAAACCCTAAAACCCGAAACCCTTATCCCGATACCCCCAAAACCCTAAACCCGAAACCCTTATCCCGAAACCCCTAAACCCGAAACCCGAAACCCTTATCCCTAAAACCTGCAACGAAGCCTAAAGCCCCCAAGCCCTTGAGTCTCTTGGTGGGTCTTGCATTTTGGACGGAAGCAGGGTTTGTTGAAACTCTGCCATCTTCGGTTTAGGGTTTAGGGCTTAGGGTTTAGGGTTTGGGGGTTTAGGGTTTAGGGTTTAGGGTTTATGTTAGTTTGTTCTGTTTTCCCTTGGGTACTTGATAAATCAGGCGTGGACTGGTGGCGCAGCTTCAGTTTGCTGGAGGAGCTCGAGGAAAGAGAGCTGCTGGGCATGGCACTTTGGGTAGTTCTTTATGGTTTTGGCTTAAGGGCTTAGGGGTTTAGGAGTTTAGAGTTTAGGGTTTAGGGGCCCCAATATAGTACGGCGCCCTTACAAAAAGGACCCTAAAAGGGACCCTATTTAGAGAACCACCCATATCTTGTTAGACTTGAAGCTTGCCCGTGTATTAAAGCCTGATACGGTGCCGCAAACCCGAAACTTTCCGGCACGGGTTATCCCGGTATCCGCAGGCTCAAGGACGTAAGTAAGCAAGTCGGCAAGTCGTTAGGTTCCACAAGCATCAAATGTAGAGTCTTAGAGAGATCATATTTGAATCTTGAGCTAATTCAGAGCGAGGCTGCAGCCCAACTCCATCACGTACGGCGCCGTGATCGCAGCCTCTGCCTGCAGGGGGCATTGGGAGGCAGCAGTGGCTGCACTGGCTGAGCTGCTGCGAAGTCATCTCCAGGCAGGGTAGCTGTGGGCAAGCTGCAGAGCTTTTGCACGGCTAGTTCTCCGAATCAGGGTCCTTTGTGTTTTGCAATCCTGACCGTACTGATACACTCTGTTGGGACCAGAATCGGGAGGTGTTCAGATGCATCTTCTCCATGCATCCAACACTCAGTGCGAAGCTATTAAATTAGGTCTGCCCCTGAACCGCAGCTTCTAAAGAAAGTCTGTTTGGTTCATGGCCGTACCGAAGCACATAGCAGCACTTTGGCGTTGAGAGGTCCTACTACCTATGAGGAAGTTATACAGCCATCTTCTGTTGTGTTCGACAACTGCACCGGAATGCTGCATGCAGAGTTCCGGTTGCAGAAAGATCAACAGCCTTGCTCTCCATCCTGAAGAGTCCGGTCCCCGGTCCCCAGGATCTTCTCCATTGAATTGAAACCCTAAGTTGCCTATGTTAGCTGTTTGGGCTTAAGAGTGGTGTACTGCCTTGCGGCTCTTAGAATTTGGAGGGACCCCCCTTGCAGTAGTGAAGTTAGCGGACCACAACACCCGTTTGCACTTAAACCCCTGGAAAACTGGTTTCCGCCGGTCCATGGGAACGGACCAGACTTTAAGCCCAAACCCACAACTTCAAGCCGAAAAAACACCGAAATCAAAGACTTTATAAGCTCCAAACATGAAGTCCTACACCCTAAACCTGAACCCAAAGCCCCTCTAAGGCTCTAGATCCCTTACAGATCCCTTTTACAGGATCCTTAAAGACACCATTCCCTGAGGTGGACAGGATCGCCCTTAATGGGGTCCTTACGGCCTGCGAGAAATCCTCGTTTTGGAGACAAGCACTGGGTGCTCTGGATGGTCTTTAGAGGTGTTTGTTGGAGTTGATAGGGCTTCTCCGGGGGGGGGGGGGGTCATGGGGTTTGGACCCAAAACCCAAACCCCTACCTTAACCCCAAATTAAATAACTTACTTTCTTAAGGACTTATATAAAGAATTCATAGTAAGGAACCCCAAAAAGGGAGGTTCTTGAGTGGGCTGCAAAAATTCTGGGTCTTAATGACTACCAGGACCCTCCTTGTACCCTCGAATAACAGGGGCATATGGTCCCAAACGAGGGGTACTTAGGGTCTAGTAGAGGGTAGATGGAGGGTCTAGGTATATAGCTACCCATAGGCTCCTAAGTAGTTCCTTTTTGTGGTTTATATTTTTGTCTCCTATAAGGTAATCCCAAAAAGGAACCTGTAGCCGAAAAGACCTACCTTTCTAAGGATTTATATAAAGAAACCATGGTAAGGAACCCTAAAGGGGGAGGTCTTTTCGGGTACAGGTAGTCTCCTGAGTAGTACGTTTTTGCCTTTGATCGAGGGTTCCCTCATTCAGAGCCAATAGTAGGCAAAGGGGTACGTACCCTTATGATAAAGGGGTCGCTGAGATGGGCTTTCGGTGTATACACCCCAAAGCCTAAGCCACATATCAGCACTGCAGAGGCTTTTGGCCGTTGTTCCTAAGAGGGCTGCAAGGGCTACCATGATCGTTACTCGAGGGTTTAGGGTTTAGGGTGTAGCTGAAGACAGCAACCGCATTTCTTGCTGTTCCGAGTTTAAGCCCAGCATAACTATACTGCAGAGCCCTGCTTCAAATGTTGAGGTCCCCGAAGGTACTTCAGGGTTTTCGGGATTGGACGGTTTAGAGATAAGGTTTAGTGTAGTATTGTATTGAAGTATAGTATAGTATGGTATAGTATAGCATAATGTAGTATAACATAGTATAGCATAGTATAGTATAGCATGGTCGAAAATGGTACAGTGCCTCGTTGTCCAGCCGCTCTGCGCCGCGACGGACTCCCCTGAACCCTGAATCCTAAAAAGCCTACACCCCTAAACCCGAAATGCTAAGCCCTGAATCCTAAGCCCCCAAACCATGAAATCCTCCGAACACCCTAAACCCTAAACCCTAAACCCAAGCCCCACACAGGTGCCCCTGAGCGGCTGGGCGCAGATGGTGGCCTTCGCAGGCAGCGTGGAGCTTTTCCAGCCCCTCTGAGAGACGAAGGTTTAGGGTTCAGGGTTTCAGGGTTTCAGGGTTTAGGGTTTAGGGTTCAGGGTTTAAGGTTCAGGTTTTAGGGTTTAGGGTTTAGGGTGAAAGACGAAGGATGTGTGGCACAATCTAGCAGAATCTGATACAATGATATGAGATGCGGTAATCTTTATGAACTGTGGTAACTGTAGTAGAATAGAATACAATATGATACAGTGTTATAAGATGATATAACCTATATAAGCTATAGTAGACTACATAGTACTATGATTTACTACATGCATTCATCGATCTGACCAGTGGTAGTGTTGACCGCGAACCTGCCTCTGCAATGGAGTTTGGGCAGGCGTACCTGCTTCGGGTTGACACTTGCAAAGCGTACGGCATCATACAGCTGAGTATTTATGAATAGATACGCACTGATGTACATATCATATATGTGTAGATTGAATATGTTCTTTCGAAGCTACCGGGGAACATCCTCAAGATCCTGACCAGCTAGCCCATCGCAGCCCCTTGCCTGACACCTCCCTATACCAGGCGTCACGGTTAGTCGTGCTTTCGGGTTCGTCCTGAGCCCGTCTATAGGAAGCGAACAGGGTTAGGGTTTAGGGTTTAGGGCTCATAGGTTGCGTCTGAGGACTCCCAAACTCAACTATCTTACATGCCTGTTTTGCAGCGTCCAAAAGCCTGAATCTCGCTCAGGTATGTGGACGATCCCAAGCGTGCTCCGGGTGACTTCGAGAACGCAGGCTCGTATACGTCACATTTCGCTCTGGAGACCTTGCAAGGCAGCTAGTCATCCGCCTCCTAGTCCTGGGTTCTTGTTAAGTCTGGGACATTTTCAGGTGGGTAGTTACCGTTATAGGAGCCCTAAAGAAAGGTCTATATACTTTATAGAAGCCTTATAGAAGCCCTATATGGCCCTAAACTCCCCACCTGTAGTTTCCTTTAAGTAAGGGGATTTTATTTAAGTTACCAAAGTGGGGGATCTCCTTTAGTAGTTTGGGTCCCAAATTACGGGATCTACTTTTGTGGAAATTTTTAGTGCAAGTTACCATAGTGGGGGATCTATAGTAAATCATATGGTTTCTTTATTATGGCAATATAAATTAAATCCGCTAGCAAGAACTAAACCCTAGACCCTAAACCCTCAACCCTAAACCCGAAACCCTAACCTGAAACCTTAAACCTGAAACCCTAACAAGAACCCAGTGATCCCCTTTCAGAGCCTCCAAAGCCTTCAGCCCGACTCAAAGCATCGGTCTTTGCATCGTAGCAGCCGCTGCGCGAGAGCCTTGAGACAGCCGAGAGTTAGGGTTAAGGGTTTAGGGTTTAGGGTTTAGGGGTTTAGGGGTTTAGGGTTTTAGGGGTTTAGGGGTTTAGGGTTTAGGGTTGAGAGGCAGGTCTTCTGTCGGTTCTGTGCTTGTAGATCTCCTCTTGAGCCCTTCAAGAAGGCGGCTTGCATAAGCCGTATGACGACCCTAAAGCCCTAAAGCACCGAAAAAAACACCGAAAGCACCTAAACCCTCAAACCCTAAATCCTACCCCGCTCTCTCCCTCTCAAGCTCTGAAGCCCGCAAATCCTAAACCCCCAAACCCTACAGCCTGAACCCCGAAGAGCAATTCTTAGATTCCAGGCCTTCTGGGCATCCCCAACGGCTTCATGAAGGCTCCGGAGGACCAGCTACTGGGCTTTGGAAAGGCTTTAGGGGTTTAGGGGTTTAGGGTTTAGGGTTTAGGGGTTTCGGGGTTTCAGGGTTTAGGGGTTTAGGAAGGTTTTCGGGATTTTTGGGGATTCAGTGTTCAGAACGTGGTGGTCATGAGTGGAAGAGCGGTAGCTTTGGCCCGTACTCCAATCCGGTCGCTTGGCTCCCCAGGTCCGAATAGAGCCCTAGAGCCTTCGATCCCTAAAGTTAAAGTTAAAGGAAACTACAGGGAGTTTAGGGTATATAAGGCTTCGAAAAGGCTTCTATAAAGGGTATATAGGCCTTCTATAAGGCTGCAATAACGGTAACTACCCACCTGAAAATGTCCTAGCTTAAGTCAACAGTGTACATTAATGAAGCTTATGGAGCAAACACGTCTTCTCGTGAGCTGTCCAGTGCACTGCTGTTACGACAGGTTTGGTCAGGACCAGCCAATGAAGAAGACCGGTAGATGCAAGAAGAGCCTGTATCCAGAATGCGTGACGCCGCGATGACGTCCACGGACGATTCCTTATATGATTCTTCAGGTTCCGGGACCCTAGACCCGAAGCCCTTTGGGTATCGCCTCTGAGGAAGGAGAAGAAGCTGGCTGCCGAGATCGCAAACGGACGTCTGGCGATGATGGCCGCTTGGAGACCTGCAGCGAAGTTGTCTTCTCCCTTCGATTTAACGAGGGTTCTGTGGTTCAGTAGGCAGCCCAATATCCCTGAGCCCCGTGAAGAAATACAACCCCCAAAACAAGGCTAAATATTATGAACTTATGGAATGATGCTTAATTCAGGGGTCTTAGCAGGCTCTCTGTGTATGGGTGTAGGAAGCTAGAGGGCATCTTAACAGCATCTAGGCTCCTGACTAGTACTTTTCCACTCTTGTCTTTAGGGCCCCCTTATTTCTCCCCAATAGTAGGCAAAGGGGGACCCTTGTCATTAAGGGTTTGCTGAGGAACCTAGCTATGTATGTCGGGTTTCAGGCTCGGGCTTTGCGTCCCTGTGCATTCAAAGCCCTGTTCGGGTTTCTCTAACAGACTGGCCCACATCTTGACATGTCATCCGGAACAATGACCGACCTTATTATTTTTTCAGGGTGTCTTCACGTACTTATGGTACCATGCACCCCCCAATCCCTACTCTCATTATCAAGGGCATTCATTGCTTCGAGCTTGCGATATCAAGGCCATCATTGGCATGTTCTTCCAGAACGGACTGACAGGAGCCGGGTCCTAGGCCCCCATAAATTTCTAAGCCCGAAAAACCCTAAGCCGTAAACCCCAGACCTTGGGCACTGCCCGGTTTAGGGTTTAGGGTTTAGGGGTTTAGGGGTAACAGTCTATAATAGGGCTACTACTTTCTTGAGGGCCTTCTACATCCATATGAATGAATATTGCTCCACTGTTATCGAGTGGGGGCAATATCCGACCTAGACCCTAGGCTCATGGGTAGCTCTCTAAATCAGGGTCCCCTTTTCTGTCTCCAATTTTGTACGGCACCCTTATAAAAAAAAAGGACCCCAAAAGCGACCCTAATTTGGAGAACCATCCTCATGACTCCGTTGCCTCGAAGGGTAGATGGGGCCTGAGAAACCCGAGCTCCCTGCAACAGCCTCTCTCTTCTCTCCCAGTAGCTTTGTCCCCAGACCCTAAAACCCTAAACCCTAAACCCTAAACTAAAAAAGACCCTTCACCCTAAACCGTGTAAAACCCTTACAGCCCTTCAAAACCCTAAACCCTCAACACAACTAAAGCCCGCCTCCGAAGAAAATTGAACCCTGCAAGCCCAAGCCCTAAGCTGTAGCCCTGTTGTTATGATTATTATGATCATGTTTACGTGACTATTCGTCTTATTCTTATTATGAGTATTATAGTCCTAGTATTATAGGTGTTTGTAAGTGTTACTAGTCGGAATATTATTAGCATCATTGTTGCTATCATCACTGTTATCACTATTATTGTTAGTCATACTTGTATGATTGATGCAATTATTGCTGCCACTCCTATTAATGAGTACTACACCTATCAGTTTCTTAAAGTCTTAAAGTACTACGACACTTCCTATTGATACTACATTGAGTTACTGTCATTATGCTTGTGTTGCGTGAGCAAGGGTCCTACACCCTAAACCCCAAACCCTATACACTCCTATAAACCCTAAACCCAAAAACCCTAAAACCCTAAAACCCTAAACCCTCAAGCCCTAAAACCCCAAGGCAAGAGGCCTAAGACCCCAAAATTCCGCAGGACAGGCCTGGGGCGACTGGTCCCTTTACACGGACTCGCCGCTGAGAGCCCTGACGCCGGCACAGGAGAGCAGAAGCTTTGAAAGCTTCGGGTCCTGGTACCAAAGGGGTTTTGAGGGTTTCTTTAGGAGTTTAAGGTTCAGGGTTTAGGGTTTACCTATAACTTACCTTTGGTTAGTAGGGAATGGAGGAATGGGAACTATTATAAGTACCATTACTACCATTCTTCCATTCCCTACTAACCAAAGGTCGGCTAAGGGGTTTTGAGGGTTTCTTTAGGAGTTTAGGGTTCAGCGGCGCTTGGGTTTCGAGAAGTTCCTGGGGCCTAATAAGGGCTCGAAAGGGATACTATGAGGGATTCGGGGCGCTTACGGTAGGGTACGCAGTGCAGGGCCTAATAGAGGGTGTCATGATTTTCTGAAGGGATACTATAAGAGATTCGATGGGGATCACTCTTCCCTTCAAAAGGGGTCTGCAAGGGTTAGAGGGGGCTAGCGCTTCGGCAGGGTGTCGAGGAGTGCAGGCAGGGGCCTGATACAGGGATCCTGGGTCCTTTAACGGGAGTCTAGAAGGATTTCAAGGGATACTGTCAGGGGTGTAGGCTAGGGCCCCAACTCATCAGGAACACCCTAGTATAGAAATCTATTCAGGCTTCTATATTGCTGACCTGCAGATCAAAACATGTCCTTCAGTGCTTTTCCCCAAGCGACTCGGAACCATCGATCGAACAGTGGCGAATGCATGTCATGCATAGCACTCAACCGCTCAACACCGCTCTTCCTTCTAGCTTGGACCTCGGGCATGGTGAGCTGCAGGCTCTCAATTTCCATCCAGAAATGCTGTCCATGTGGGACTTTCCGAAAATGAGGGTACCTTATTGTGGGGTCCTTATCATAAGGATCCTACTATTTAGGGTACTATATTAGGGTCCCCTATTTTCGGAAACCGCCATGTGGATGCAGCCTTACTGCTTGAGCCTCAATCGCTTAGGTGTTGCTCCCGAGAGTCCGAGAGGAGACTCAGGAAGCAAAGTTAAGGATCAAGATCGTCCTGGAACTGCACAACCCTTCGCACTTGACTCATGCGCTGTGCCAGGAGATTATTGCCGGGACTGGCGGCCCTCTCCCGGACAACTTCTGGGATCCGGCGGGCATCACCAACGGAAAGACGGAGAAGGACAGAAACGGGAACTGCGCTTGCCCTGCCGAGCCGCTCCGTGCCCTCTAGCTGGTACAGGGAAGCTCCAGTCTGATTTTTCCATCCCCCCCGCCCCCCTCCCCCTTCGCCCCCCCGTAAACCCTAAGCCCTAAGCCCTAAACCCGCTACACCGCGCCGTCAGAAGAGAGCTGACTCTTCAAAGCGGGAGCTCGAGAGAGTTCCGGTGCCCCTGCTCTTCCAGGAGATCGCGATGCTCCGTGCCATGGAGCTGAAGCACGGCCGTGTGGCGATGCTCGCAGTGCCTCGGAAGCGACTTCCATTCCTTGGCTTCGAAGCTTAAGTCTACTCGTAGCTCATCGTTTTTTCTATATACATAGTTGAGATTCAGGCTTACCAGGCATGTCTGACGCAACTCTAATCATAGCGAAACAAAATCGATCCTCCTCCACAGTTGAGGTCTTGAAATTGAGCGTCCGCTCACGCATGCGATGCTTCTGCTTCCAGCAAAGCTGCTAAAGAACCTTCATACCCTGGCTTGGACTTGGAGCGCGAAGCCCTAAGCACCAAAGCCTGCCAAAAACAAGAACCCGCCCCAAAGGGAATCTGTCTGTCTCTCGCTCTCTCTCTC